AAACAGCGATGGGTCTGCCCGGAGGGGGGCGTTGGAGGGCGGGGTGCAGTGTTTCCTTTGGGGGTGAGGAGAATGTCTCATCGACTGTTAGGGAAGCCTTACTGTGAACATGCTAAAACCCATTAAAATGTACACTTTGAATGAGTGAATTGAATGAGACATTGTATCTTAAGAGAGCTATTAAAAAAGAATCTATACTCTTTTTTTATTTTTTAAATAAACTATTCTTAAAAAAGTTTTTTTTTCTTTATTGATTTTTTAGAGAGAGAGGGAGAGATAGAAACATCGATGAGAGAGAACATCGATGGGCCGCCTCCTGCACGCCCCCCACTGGGGATCGGCCCACAACCTGGACATGTGCCCTGAGCGGGAATCGAACCGGCGACCTCTTGGTGCAGGGTTGACGCTGGACCCCTGAGCCACACCAGCCAGGCAGAATCTATACTCTTGATTCAGGTATGATTCAGAATTGCTTTCGACTTGCTTTGGCCCGAGGGTGTATCAGAAGTGACTTGGTCAGTTCCAAGGTCCCAGCCTCCTGCCGTTTGTCTGAGTCCCACGGGTGTCGGGGCGCCCGCCCAGGGCAGCCTGGCCCAGCCACCGCCCGCGTCAGCCAACAGCGGCCAGCAAGATGTGCCCAGCCCGCGAGCAACCCGCTGAGACCCCGAGACCATAAATACCCGGGGGCCACTCGGGGGGCACGAGGGCTTCGGCAGGGTTTGTCTGCAGGCTCCCCTGGGCTCTCTCTGGGCTGAGCGGCTGGAGTGAGCGGTGGCCTCTGGGGAAGAGTTGTCAATAACACCGGTGACTTGTCTGGTGACGGGTGGTAACTAGACATCCATGAGGACGCCTGCCAGGGCGGCGCTCGACCCTGGGAGCTCGCCCGCATCTCCGCCGCCCTGTCCACCCTCCGTGCTGTCGGCTGGGTCGTGTCTTGGTTACTGGACATGACGGTGTCCAGCCCGGCGAGCCTGCTGCGGACTCTGGGCGCCACTTTCCGCCCCACGCCGACCTCGATCACGCCCCAAGGGGAGAGCCTGGCAGCAACTGGGGGGCACCTCCATCCGCCCCCCATCTCTGCCCTGCGGTCTTGGCGGCTGCCCCTCGGACTTCAGGCCCGTGTGCCGTTGCCACCCTCCCTCACCAGCCACAGACCAGGCTGACCGCAGGCGTCCAACCTTCCGGGGTCCCTCCTGCCCGGGGAGCCCTGCTGGGGTGCAGCCCCGGGGGGCCTCCCTCCATGAGCAGATGGTGCGCAGCCTGCCGGCTGCCTTTCCTCCAGGTGCCGGCGCCCGAGGAGCAGACAGGCTGGGCTGTCCCCGCCCCGCCCCCGCTGCGGCCCTGGGCCCTCGCCGTGGCAGCCCCGCGGTCTCCTCCCTTCCAGCCGGGAAGCTTCCTGTTAATTACGCTTAAAAATCAATATGGGCACTTTGATCCCAGCTGCGGAAGGAGGACAAATCCGAGGGCAGAAACCCGTAAGGACAGATCCAAGGCGCCAACGGAGGTGAATTCGGTCATTTTAATAAATTTTTTACAGGGCTCGTGGGCTACTTTTAAAATTGGAAAAATAATTTAAAAGTCATATTTCTAACGGCATCCTTTCCAAGCCCGAGACGGGCGGAGAAGCACGTGCTGCATCGAAGCGCAGCAGCGCGGGGTGTAGGCGGCGCCGGGTTCTCGCTTCCGGGAAGGGGGCCGGGGGCGCCGCTCTGTCCGAGTTGCTTCGACTTTTTCTTCATTTTCCAGCTTGTGTGCAATAAACCTGAATTGCTTTTGGGGGGGTCCGTTTCATTACTTTGTTTTAACACAGGAAAATAGACAGAGAGCCTGTGTTAGTGTAATAACTGAGACCGGCCTTTGGAGACACGAGCCCGGGGCTGAGTCCTGACGCGGCCGTCCCTCCGGGACCAGAGGGCCCGCGTCTGTCCTGCGGGCTCCGCGCCTCCCCAGGCGGGCGTGGGAGCAAGTAACCGAAGGGCGCCAGCACTGACAACTGCCCGAGGGGGCCTCCACTGTCCTCATCAGGTCTTGGAACCGACATGGCTCCGCTGCCCAGAGTGGACCACTGATGTGTTGGCCCAAAGCAGCTGGTGTTTCCATAGCTTAACCTGGGGCGGAGACGCAGCCTCCAGCATGAGGTCCGACCACAGCCCCCTCCCCTTATTTGGAGCCTACGCCTTGTAAAGAAACGTGGGCGTGCAGCGTAGGGAGGGAGACTGGGGGGACATGGTTTCGTACACAAGGTCCTGAAGGTGCTTTCTCTCCCTGTCCCCGAGCAGCCCCGCTGTGGGAGGGAAGGGACCCCAGGCCCTGATTAAGAAAAAGGTCACAGTACACGAGCCCCATCAGCTTCTCCTAAGAAGAGTCGATCGCTCCTTGCCGGTGTTGTGGGGACTATCACACCACATGGGGCATTTTCAGGAGTCTCCCATAACAACGGGCAACGCCATGGAGACAGAGAGGGGACCGGTGGTCGCTGGGGGCCGGGATATCGGGGGGAAATGGGGAGTAAGTCTACTAGGGTGGAGTTTCTTTGGGGACGATGACAATGTTCTAAAACTGATGGAAAACCCAACTCTGCAACTATACCAACAACCGTGGAATCAAACACTTTACATGCATCAGTGTTTATGGTATGTGAGTTATATCTCAATAAAGCTGTTTCAACAAAACAAAAACCACCTTCTTGTCTTCTGTTCTCTTTCCCCAACTAACCAACGGCAACAACTCTACCACCGAAAGAGCAGCAACAGACCCAAAAGCAATAAAAAGAAAAAGTAACCTCTTCCGCAGGTGAGATCCGCACAGTGTCCACTCAAGGTCAAGACTTGCCTTCCATGGAGAGGGGCGATCCCGAGGTGTGACCCACAGATCGGCAGCACTGGGGACCCCCTGGAACTGGTTAGCAGTGCGCTTTTCCGCCTGCAAAAAACAACGTAAACGGAGCCGCTTTCAAATGCAACCGGAGCTGCCGTCCCAGAGGAACGGCCTGGCGCGTCTTGTACCTAAAACCTTCAGATGTTAAAGCGCCGCAGTCTAACCTTTGCACCGGGCCTAGAGCAACACTGTGTCCCAAAGAGCTGTTTGCCAAGACACAGGAAAGCAGACATTGTAACTACCAACTTGACGGAATGAAAATTGGAAACATTGTTTAGAGCCAGTGATGCTGTGCAACCTTATCTGCCCCTCTAGTGACACCTTCCTTCTGGGGATGTGACTAACTGTTTCCCTTCCCTTTCTCATCAAAACCCATCGCCTTTGTCTCCCGTTGAAACACCGTCTGGGCTCCTGCCTGAGTCAGTGCTTCTGGAATAGCTGTTCTTCCTTCTTCCTTTTTAAAATCCCAAATAAGTGCTTGTGGCCTCCGTGGCCTTTTATTTTGAGGTTCACAGGCCCCACCTCACCGAGCTGTGTTTTGTCAGCTGTCCTGGTGATTCCAAGCTTGTTTAACGTCACCGGTGTCGCCGATGGCGGGCGAGGGACTGGGGTTTCCTCATTAGGAATTACTCCGGCTCTGTCTAGAAGAAGAAGATTAGCAAGTGTGACATCTTCGCTTAGCGTAGCAGGCAGGTCATTTCTCCAAGGTGTACATTTGCCAGGGAGAGGAAACAAGGAGTCAAATGAAATAAACACCCCACGAGCTACGGACGTGTCCGGCACAAAAGCATTTTAATGACAGTTGACATCACGGGTATAAATAAATAGCTCCTTCCTTCTGTGAGATGTGCTAGAAACATTGTTCTGAAAGGTTCAGCCGTCACGAGGCTTCCGGAACCGTCTTAGCTACCGCTTTCAGTCATTACGGGTCCCGGGGACCCGCGAGCACCCCACGGGGGCTGCCTCACCACGTCAGTGAGCTGCTGCACAGTCCGGCTGTTGGAAATGCGGTCGCAATCTGACACGGATCTTTACCTCTGCGGATGTGCTGCCACACCCCGCCCAGCAGTTAGGGACGCAGTTACGACCGCTGCCCGGCTTCTATGTCCGTTCACTTCCAACGCCAGGAGGTCTCCTGGCAGAGCCGCCCACGAGGGGACACTGACCGTGGGAGTGGCCCCTGTCCTGGGGCTTCGACCCAACCTTCCCCGACGAGGGGTGACAGAGCGGCTGGTGGCGGGCCCGGCTGGGCTGGCGCTGCGGGCTGTGTGTGGTGGGAACAGCCTGGGACAACGTCCCACGTGGCGGCTCTGTCCCTTGGAGGCTGTGATGGTGGCGGTGGGTCAAGGCCCTCAGAAGGTGAGGACTCCTGTCAGTGGAAACACCCAGCGAACACCAACAAGGCAGCGAGGTGACAGGAAGCGCCCCCTTACCTGGAGAACGGATGAGGTCATCACTCCCAAGAGTCCATCTGACGGACAGGAATGGGATTATTGCTGAATTTAGGACCAATAGGCCATTTGATCCTCAGAAATAAATATGAAAAAGATAGCGACAGGAAATACGGGAAAAGACAACCAAAGGTGAGAAGTAAAGATTTAGGAGCCCTCCGCCTGTCCCCAGAGGTGACCCATATCCAGACACCTGTGCCCCCAGCCCCCACGGACAGTCCTTGCGGAGGGGACACGGACTTAACACGAACCTGTCTCTTAGCCCTGGTTTGAGATTAGGCTCCTTTGTTAGAAATATAAACAGATGGTTACTTCTGTCTCTTTTTATTTGTCTTTTTGCATTTTTTTAACAAATCATTTTTGGTAGCTTGACTGTTACACTTTGACTCACAGGACGACCTTGCTGATCTGGCCGGTGCGGTCCGTGTCCGTCCGCCCCATCCCGGGGCCCCTCCCGTGGACCCTCGAAGCTCCGCCCTCAGCGGCTGCTAAAAAACCTCTGATTACAAAAACAGTCCCTTCCCGGCTTCAAAACGTCCAACGGGCCCCCAAGGGGCACCATCAAGTCCCTGTTCAAAGCCCCGTGACTCCCAACCACCACCACCCCCAGGGCCCAGGTCTAGCCTGGAAGAGAGCAAGGTGCTGGGCACAGGGCCCTTTGGCCAGAGGGGCCTACACTTTGTCCTTGAATTTCTCCAGATAGTTTCTGAGCTCCGTGGGGGCGCCCGCGTCCAGGCCCTGGCACACCCACTTGATGTCCTCGTCATGGCCGCTGAGGATGGAGTTCACCGTGGGGCAGCTGTCGTCGGGGGGGATGGTGGTGAAGGTGGTGAACTTCACCTTCTTCCTCCGGGAGGTGGGCGAGTGCGGGGGCTCCTGCCTGGCCCCCGACGCGGCCGGCCTGTGCGCCTGGCCCTGCGCGTGCTTCTGGGAGCCTCCGTTCAGCAGGAGGCGGCTGCTGTCCTCGAAGCCCCCCGGCCCGCGGTCTATGATGGTCGTGTGTTCGTTGGGCTGCGGAGACCCCTCGCCCACGCCGTCCAGGAGCTCGGCCTCATTGCCCAGCCACACCCAGTCGTGGGAGTGCGTCACGGAGGCCTGGCCCTCCAGGGGCAGCTGCTTGTGCCGGTACTTGAGGGCAAAGGCGGCACAGTTGATGAGGAAGACGAGGATGGCCAGGCAGAAGACCCCCAGGAGGGCGTACATGCCGATCTGCAGGTCGCTGAGGCCGCGGGCCGCCTGCACCAGGCCGCTGTCCGCCAGCCCGGCCCCGGCCCCGGCCCCGGCCCGAGGGAGCTCCACCTGCGCCGGGAAGTTGCTGAAGTCGATGGGGATGTTCTGCAGCCTGCCCCCGTCTAGACGGCTGTTCTTGGCCACCTTGTTGTCCAGCAGCGGCCTGGCCGTGGTGCTGCCCCGGGACACGGCCCCCTCCTCTCGCTCCGACGACGAGCTGCCCTGGACGTGCCCGTCCTGGCCCTTTGGCCGCCGGTCACTGGCGTGGTTCTTGATCTCGCCCTGGTCATCGTCCCCGCCGGGGCCGGAGTCCACGTTGTTCTGGCCAAACTTGACTCTGATGTTGCCGACACCCACGGCCAGGATGCTCTTGCGTTTGGATTTCTGGCAGGTCTCTGCGATGCTCAGGTCCACGCGGACCAGCGGCCCCTGGCCCTCCCCTTCGGCCACCACGACCGGCCACCTGGGAGAGCGGGCCTGGGCCACAGACACGACAGCCTCGTCCAGGGAGGTGGCCGTCAGGGTGAAGTCCTTGGTGTCGTAGATGTCCAGGGGCGTCACGGAGCCGTCGCTGAACTGCAGGGAGGTGCTGACCACGGCTTCCTGCAGAGACAAGGCAGTTAGAGGACGGGCCAAGGTTTGCTTTCTCTTTGCCCGAGGGCGTTCCTGGCCTCTGGAACCCATGTGGTCAGGCTCACAGCCCGAAATGCCAAGGACTGAGCACCCTGCACAGCCAGCTCTCTACTCAGGACTTAGAGGAGTTTATAACTGTATCTATGTCTACATCAATGTCTACGTGTATACTATGTGTCTCTATCTACATCAATGTCTGTGTGTACACTATGTGTCTCTATCTACATCAATGTCTGTGTGTACACTATGTGTCTCTATCTACATCAATGTCTGTGTGTATACTATGTGTCTCTATCTACATCAATGTCTATGTGTATACTATGTGTCTCTACATCAATGTCTATGTGTATACTATGTGTCTCTATCTACATCAATGTCTGTGTGTATACTATATATCTCTACTATATTATATGTGTATATTTATACTATATATCTATATGAGTGCTACATATCTATACTATATTATATCTATATTATATCTATATACTACATCTATATCAATACTGATTACTATATATCTATACTGTACCTATATCTATATATCTATCTATATTTATACTATATCTGTATCTGTGTTTATACCCATCTTCGTGTCCATACCCACATCATGTTCACATCCATGTCCCATCTCCTGGCCGCTGGCCTCGGTCACAGTGCCTTGCTGGCCTTCCCTGGACTGGCTGAGTGTCCCCAGCAGCCTCGACCCCGGAGCCCACGGTGGTGGCTGAGCTGGGATCATATGTGTCTGTGCCCCCCTGGCCGCCTCCCTGCATCGCCCCCCGCACCAGCTGAAGGCTGCTGCGTTCACCACCCCATACAGGGCTGGCCCCGGATCCTCACCTCAGGCCCAGCTTCTGGGGACAACTACGGTGACAATCTGAGGACTGCTTCCCGCCCCATATCCTCCGTCCTCACCCCCCCCCACCCGCTCATGCAACCGGTGCGTCTCCTCCGAGGCCTAACCGGCAATGCCTTCCCACTGGGCTCCCCCATTCTCTCTGCGGCTCCCCTTAGAGCCCTAAGGCCCAGAGGACCGGTGTTCCTGCCCTGAGACTCCGGGCTTACAAATCAGAATTTGCATGTCAAAGCTCAGCCATCAGGAACAAGGTGCCAGCCGCCCTGCCCCCACCCCAACGGTGGCGATCAAACGTCCTCCACCATCTGCACGTTCCTCTTGGCTGACTTCATCTTAAATTAAGTTTTCTCCACACTCCAGACGGAGGAAGAACTGAACACACACAAGCCAAGCCCCCAAACGGCAGACGGTCCGCATGAAGCCCCGGCACACCCCGGGCTGGCCGGAGTCCGTCATCACCGGCCCCGCTGCGTGACCACCACGAAGTCCCCGCGGTGGCGAATGTCAGCCCTTGCTCCCCAAAGAGCAGAAATTCTGAACGACTTCAAGTCCCATGCCCAGGAGTGACGTTGAGCTCCCTCCTGTCAAGGGCCATGTCTGCACATCAGGTGAACGGCCTCCATAAACCCCCGAGTCGTGGTGGGGTCGGGGGACCAGGCAACGGGGACAGATGGGTCTGGTGGCGGCGCCCCGTGCCAGGGAGGTAGCAGCGCAAGCCGTCCCCTCCTGGGCACCATCCTCAGCAAACAGCTCCATGCTTCCTGCCGTCTCCCCACTACTCTGCTGTTTACACACCAGAAGACGCCCGGCAATTTCTTGCCTCCAGGAGACACGGGGGCAGGGAGGCTGGACGTGGGGGCGACTGTGGTCCCTGCTGCTGACGCTCTGGAGCGAAGGAGCAGGTGTTTCTAGAGCGGCCCGGGCTACCTTGGCACCTGGACGACACGTGCCAGTGGCTCAGCTGGGCGGCAGACGGCCATGCGCAGGTGACCCGGCGAGCCTGAGGCCGGTGCAGGGGCCTGGGCAGGACCAGTTTCTCTGGCTGGTGGTGGAGGAGGAGTCAGAGGCTGAAAGCCTGAGACCGGCCGCCCCCTCCCTGCTGGCTCCCCGTGATGGGGGTGGGGTGGGAGTGAGAAGGGGCGCGGGTGGCCTTAGGGTGCTGACAGGGTCTCCGGGACAACAGTGGACGCGTCAGTCTTCCAACCGCAGGAGCGGATTCTGCCGACAGAATGAATGACGCGGGGACATCCGGGGACGAGCCCTGCCGGCCAACTCTCAGCCTGTGCCCGGAGCGTGGAGCCCGGCGGGGCCCACGGGGACCCGACTGCAGGGCTGGGAGGTACTGGGGGGCGCTGTCGCAAGCTGCTGGGCGTGGCGGTGACACGGGTGCACTGGGCGTGGTCCCCCCACTGCATCAGAGACCCCGCTACGGGATGGTGTGGCCGGGTCGCCCCAGATCCGTGTGGGAGACGTGCCTGGGTCTGCGGTCGGCCCATCTGGAAGGCGGTTTGGCCCCCCGCCCCCCGTCTCCCCACCCTCTGCAGAATCAGGCCACCCGGCCTCGGCTCCAACCTGCTTGGGGGACCGCAGCAGCTCCTCCGCCGTGGCCACGGCCGTGACGGCCTTGCTGTTCTCCGGGGTGGGGTGGAGGGTGACAGACAGCCCGGCCACGAGCTGGATGGCCAGGTCTGTGAGCGACACTTTGTCCTCCAACACGGTCACTGTCTTCTCGGCCAGGATGGAGTCGGACAGCGGCGATAGCACCTGTGAATGGTGGACACGGGACGGCCCGTCATACCCGTCCCAGGGTCGGAAGCCTCCCTGTTCTGTCCCTTCGTCCCCAACCGGCCTGAGGTCCAGGCCCCTGGAAGACCCCTGCTCTGGGCATGGCCTCCGGCGCGGGAGGCAGGGGGTGTAGACGGCTCTGTGGAACAAGTGAGCGGCAGAAGGAAGAGGGACGGAAGAAAGAAGGGGGGCGGGAATGAAGGATGCCGCGGGGGGAGGGGTCACGTGGGACGGCCACCCCCTTCTCCATTCTGCTCGGGAGGAGATGAGGCTGAGAGGGCTGGTCCGGGCTCACCATCTGCTGTCCCCGGGGCTGACCTCGGAGCCCCGCCCATCTTGCCAGCCTCCCCAGCCCACTGTGCTCAGTGCCGGGCCCCGTTTCCTACCTGGATGGTGGTCATCCCGGCCTCCCGCCCGACCAGGACCCTGCTGTCCTTCAGCGTGGCCACATGGGGCTCCTCCAGCTTCATGAAGGCGGCCACCAGGTGGGTGATGTCCACCTGCCAGTCGGGACTGAGCAGGAGGCTGGGCTGTGCCCAGGGGCCGGCGCCCTCGGACACGAACTGGGTGAGGACCCGCACGGTGGCGTGCTGGTACAGCAGGGCGCAGCCCCGGCCCCGCCGCTCCTCCTCGTCCTCGTCCTCGCTGTCCCGCGTGGGCCTGTGGGGAAGGACATGACACTCTCGGGCCTGGGAGACGGACTCAGAGAGGCCCCCCGGGTCCCCATGCGGCCAGGCAGGCGCCGCCGGGTCTCCTGCAGGGGCCTGGGGACCTCAGGGGCGCGCGGAGCGGCTGACGGCTCCTTCCCGCAGACGCGCCGACAGAGACGGGAGCCTCTCCGAAGCTCGCTGCGCTGGCAGCCGCTCGTCACCACGTGTAGCTGTTTGCGGTGTGATTTAAATGGATACAATGAAATACATGAAGAAACCAAGTTTCTCAGCGGCACAGGCTATGTTCCGAGAGCTCCCTAACCACACAGGCCCGTGGCTGCCATACTGGATGTTTCTAGAACATTCCGGCGCCGCAGAAAGTTCTACTGGGACAGAACCGCATCGCACACCAAAGGGCTGCCTGTCCAAGCTCCCCAAGTGCAAACTCTCTCCCGCCTCATGGGAGCTGGGCTCTAAGACCTGTGCCTGTTCTAGGGGAGGGAGGTGGGGCAGAGGGTGAGGCAGCTGCGGGCTCCCAGCGGATCTCCCCCTGCCATCAGCCGGGCCTCTTCCGGGCCATGTGCACACCCAGCCTCCTGGCCACGGACGCCACTGGACGGTCTAGGTGCTGGCTGGCCCACGGCCACCCCGCTCGAGCCAGGCCAACTTCCCCGTCAGGGAAACAGTCGGCGTCTCTGCCCGGTTCCCTCCTGAGCTGGCGTTTCCGCAGCCCCCACCATCGGCAGCAGCCGGTACCCGCACAGCAGGTTCAAAACAGGGTTCCCGGCCGAAACCCAGGAGCTCGGTCACCACCCTCACTGAGCTAGTGAGCGGGGCACAGAGCTGGGCACACAAGACCCAAACTCCTACCTGCGACAACCCAGTCACAGAAAAAATCAAAGCCTTTTTTTTTGGTTCGTGTGTTCGATTTAAGAGCAAAGGGTCATAGTCCAGTATAAATGCAATTAAAATGCATCTAATAATTTGATAGGCACAGAGCTTCTCAAGCTTATAGATATTCCTAAGCTACAGAAAACGGATTCATTGTTTCACCGAGAGAGAACAAAGCAAAACGTAAGTTCCTTGGGGGCCGAGGGGCCAGGACAAGGTGTGACTTCAGTCCCGTCGTTTCCGGAGAGGCAGGTTCGAACCCGAGTCCACCGCAGCCCCCATGAAGGGCGCGAGGGGCCCCGGCCCGTCCCCCTGGCCTCAGTCTCCTCGGGGCGCGGTCGCTAGGCCGTGGGACGTGTCATCGCCGTGACAACTGCAGCACCTGCCCCGCACTGGCTGCCTGAGCGTGACGATGGAGACAATGCCCTGCTCATGTCCCGGAGCATCCCCGCCCGGGCTCACCTCTTACTGGCCACGATGGGGACCCGCCAGCCCTTGATCTGGCTCAGCTCTGTGTCCGAGACCTCGATCTGCAGCGGCAGCCGGGGCGCCCACACGGTGATGCGCAGGGGTGCGCTCAGGTGCTGGTAGGTGAAGTTCACAGCCGCGTCCACCTTGCCCTTCATCTCTTTGCCATTGACGAAGACGTAGTCGCAGCGGTCCGACACCTGCACAGACAGAGGGACGGGGAGGGTCACGGGCGGAGACAAGGAGTCAGCGCAGCGGGCTGACTGGGGAGGGGACCTGAAGGGCAGCAGCCAGAGAGCAGAGTGAAGGAGTCAGAGGAGGAGGAAAGTCAATGGGAAGGTGAATTTCTGTGTTTGCTGCGGTGAGCATCGGGCTGTTTCTCCAGGGTTTCGGGGAGAACCTACGGAATTGTGCCCCTGAGAAACTGGAGTCAGAGACGTTACCCACCAGCCTCCGCCCCTCGCTGGGTGAGGGCCGCCCTGTGGGCTAATGGCCCTGCACTCCCAGGCACGTGCAAAGGCCCTGAGGCAGAGGTGGAATGCAGCTCCGGAGGGTTTGCTGCGACCACACAGGGCACGTGAACTGCACGGTCTGAAGCCGGGACTGAACTCCCCATGGGCCGAGGGACGGTGATGTGGACACCAGAGGTGTGTGCTCTCCAGCTGTGTCTGTTCAGGGGGCGAGCCACACCCCACCCCACCCCACGCAGCCTCCCGGGGTCTGAGGGGCCTGTGTGCCTTCCTTTCGGGCAGGGCTCCCCCGTCCTGCCACACGGCCCTAATAGTCTGTAAGACACCCAGGTCTCACCCTGCGCTGCCCCTGTGCCTGGTCAGGCAGCCCCCTGACACCCAGACTGTTTAGATTTGTGTCGCATTGTTGGGGTGCATGAAAACATTGTACCAATGATCCCTGTTCCCCTCCGACACCTTCTCTTTCCTTTCCCGCTACTAGCAGATCTTCGCAGACGGAGCACAGACTGGGACACACACAGGCAAAGAAGAGTGGGTGGGAGTCTGTGAGCACCCAGAGACTCAACCCTTCAGGACATGAATCCACGGAGAGCCACGGACATGCTCACGTGGCAAAGAAGCAACAGGAAGGTGCCTGCGGCCTTGGGAGCAGGCTGGGAGGGACAATGTGGACAGAGAGGGGCCATACCAGAGGTCACCCACATGGACTCTGACTGGGGTGCCCCCAGGATCTGCAACGAAAATCTGAAGACTAGAAGCCCCGTCCCCCAACCTTGGAGATGATTAAGTCTCCTGGAATCAGACTGGGATCATATGCTTCTGCCTTAATGAGCTGAAAAGTGAAAACATACATCGAGTTGGGTCAAAGAGTGACGACAGGATCCATCTTGCACAACCAAGTGTGTGGGGAGTGACCTGCACACACCCCGTATGCCACATCGGCTGCCAGACTGTGGAATCCTTGGAGGCGGGACGCACATCTTTGCTCTCTTGTCCTCACACCAGCTGCACAGGACAAGCTCAGCAAAGTGGGTATTGAAGGGACAGATGGATGGATGAGTGGAGGGACAGACGGACGGATGGATAATGGATGGATGGGTGAATGGATGGACAGATGGACGAATGGATAATGGATGGATGGATGGGTAGGTGAGTGGATGGACAGATGGGTAGATGGATAATGGATGGATGCATGGGTGAATGGATGCATAAATAGGTGGATGATGGGTGGATGGATGGATGAATAGATGGATAGATGGATGGGTAGATGGATAAATGGGTAGATAGATAGGTGGATGAATTAATGGACAGATGGATGGATGGCTATATAGATGGATAATAGATGGATGAATGAATGAATGAATGGGCAGGTGAATGGGTAAATGAATAGATAGGTGGATGATGGATGGATGGATGGATGAATGGATGGATGGATAGAGGAATAAATGAATGGATAGACAGGTGGATGAATTAATGGATAGATGGATGAATGGCTATATGAACGGATAATAGATGGATGAATGGATGGATGGGTGGGTGAATGGGTAAATGAATTAGTAGATAGGTGGATGATGAATGGATGGATGGATGAGTGGGTAGAGGGATAAATGAATGGATAGACAGGTGGATGAATTAATGGATGGGTGGGTGAATGGATATATGGATGGGTGGATAGATGGGCAGATGGATGAAGACATGGGTGGGTAATAGACAGATGGATGAACAAATGGATGGGTGGGTGAATGGAAAAATGAATAATTAGATAGGTGGATGAATGGGTGGATAGATGAAGTTTGATGGACAGATGGATGAAAGGAAGAATGTGGAAGAATGAGTGGTGGGTGGATGATGGGTGGATGATGGGCAGCTGGATTGGTGGACGGACAGATCTTTCCCACGGGCTTGCCTACTGTAAGACACCACCAAGCACGTTGGGCCGGGGGGCCGGGGCGAGGGCCTGAGGTACGACGGCGAGAGGAGCTGCGAGAACACAGGAAGCTAATTTGAAAACATCTAGAAAGCACCCGGGCAGTGTCTCCCAACGCTTTTGGGGTCAGCGACTCCTTGGAGCACGCACATAAAGCGCAGCCGCGCCGTGGAAATGCATGTCGGACAGTTCTGTGTGAGCGCGCAGGGCTAATGAAGTCGTTCCTGGAGTTTGCAGCACTTCCAGGCCTGCGTGGTAATTGCCAATTTGCTTATCTGTCTCCTGTCGAACGTCCTATCTGTGCTGGCGGCTAAATAGCTCCGGTGCTGAGCAGTGAGCTCCGCTCGCAACCGCTTCCAGGATGGATGGCTACCCCGGGCCCCATGTTCATCCTCAACTCGTCCTTGTGTTTGGAGGGGCAGCTGGGAGGGCTGGGCTCCGTCCGTGCCCCCACCTGCTGGGGACAGTGCCCGGGAGCAGTTGGGAGGGGAACACGCCGGTCGATCTTTTCACTCATGATCAAGTGTGGTTTAAAAATGTTTACACACTGATTAAGGGTACAAACCAATTTCAGTCGCAGTCCCGGACTTGTCATTAGCAGGTAAACACTGTCCTGGGCCTGGGCGGGCATCAGCACCACAGCCGGGCAGGAGTGATATCAGTAATCACTTCTTTAATGAATGTTGTAATTCACAGACCATTGACTCTCCTCATTTATTACCTTTCCGGGCTCCGGGGGGAGGGCGCCGAGCGCTCCGGAATATTTTAGTAATGAGGAGCTCGCGGAGGGATCGGCGCTGCGGGGCGGGGGGGGCCGTGTCTCCCGCGTTCCTGAAGGGGCCATAAACGTCTCGGGAAGCCTCCGGATGCATTAATCATCCCCTAAGTGGCTGAGGTGGAAGCCACGCTTCACACAGGAGCTGGCTCGTCGACACAAAGCCCAAAGCTTGCAGGAATCTTTCCGGTCCCTTGGCCTGGTGTCTGGAAATCCTTTTCCCTGTCCGTCGTGGGCGGGCTGCCCACTGGGCACTGCCCTCCGCCTCTCCTGGCTCTGACAGTGGAGCGATGGTGGCTGAACACATGGCGGCCCCGGAACCAGCCACGGAACCGGCCACAGATGCCCGCGTGTACGACCTGGAGGGCCACGTCGGGCCATGTGGGTTCTGGTTGAGCAGCGCGTGGTCAGCTGATGCCGTCTGCTCTCACTCAGGCTTTGGCTACTTCCTGAGGATGTCATCTGCCTCCTGGGGGAGAGGCTGGGGACACATTCCACGGGGGAGCAAAGGCACCTGCTGGTCAGCCATGGACGTCACGGTGACTTTGTCACCCAGGCAGGTTCTCAGACCTGAGTGGGCATCAGAGGGTTGTCCCAGCCTGCTGGGCCCCCGGGTCTCTGAGGGAGCAGGCCTGGGTGGGGCCCTCAGCTGCGTGTCTAACCAAGGCCCCTGGGGGCCACCATTGGAGGCTCACTTCTTGAAATAATGCCGTTGCCCCCTTCAGCTCTGTGCTGTTTCCATGGCAACCCAGACATCCCATCTCACTCAGCTCCGGCTGCTGTGATGCAAACGCAGACGGGGGGCTGGGGGCTCACAGCAAACACTGATTTCTAGAGGCTGAGCGTCCAGGGTCCAGCAGACCAGCTACTCCGGAGGACCTGTGTCCTGGTTCCCAGACAACACCTCTCTGCGCCCTCACGCCGTGAAGGGGCGGGAGCCCTCGGGCCCCCCTACGAGGGCACTCAGCCCGTCATGAGGGCCCCACCCGCATGGCCTCATCACCTCCCAGAACCCACTTCCTACCATCCCCTCGGGCATCAGGATCTCACATGGGAATGTCGGGGTCACAGACATCGGGCTACAACGTATCCCTGTCCTCACTGCCATTTTTAGTTACCAGCCTGAACCCCGAAAGCATTTGAGGTTTCTACCCTGGTGTCTCGCTGGTGTCAGGGACCAGACTGGAGGGCTGGGGCCCAGCTGGGGGGATAGAGGCTGCGGAGGGACTGGGAGCCAGCCCTGAGGCGTGCACCCCTGGGCTGGCCCCGTGTCTGCTTTCTCGCGGTTTCTGAACCTCGCCACCATCACAGCCGGGTGCCAGACTGACTGATGGATTCTGCCACCATTCCCTAACGTCTGTGTTTGCATGATGTCCCCAGAGGACAGTATGCAAAGCGTAAGCCCCGCCTTCCGGGGGGCCGGCGGGCTCCAGGGGTTGCTGTGGGGCGCCCTGCCCCCCGAGACTGCTGGGCAGGTTGTTTCTGCAGGATAACAGCTGGCAAACAGCACCGGGTCCTCCGTGGAGAATTAAGTGGCCAGAACCATCTCAACATCCCCAGGGCAGAGTGTTGCCAGGGCAACCACAGCCTGTGTGTCCTGGAGCGAAGGTGCCCAGGTATCAGTGCCCACACACTCCCCACCTCGGGGCTCGCTCTGGGCTCCTGCGCCCACTTGCCCACGGCACCCACGTGAGAACCCCCGCACACACAGGGGACTTCCCTGGGGGACAACAGAAGACTGCATGTGGGTCACCCAGGGCCGCGTGGACGGTCCCGTGGATGCGCTCCCCGAACGCTCACCACGACTAGGAGGGATGTTTTCAGCGCGTCCGCATCTCCGACGAGGCCTGGAAGGCACCGAGGTGTGGAAGTGCCCATGATCACACAGCGGCAGGCGTGAGTCGGGGTTTAAACACGGACCGTGGGCTCCAGAGTCCTGCTCTCAGCCACGGTGCCCCCGCTCCACGCGGCTGGAGGTACTTTCAGTTCCTCCCCCGGCTCTTCCACGGTGGGTGCACCTGGCCACGTGGCCAGCTTTGGCCAGAGAATGTGGACGGAGTGACAGCGGCCAGTCCCAGCACGGTTGGAGGTGTCCTGTATTCCTGCCAGCCGTGTGCCCTCTGCCACGGGAGGGTTACGTCCTAAAGTCCCCTCTCAGCCCCGCCGGCAGCGAGGGGCCGAACCCAGCCGAGCCCGCAGACCTCCAGCCACCTGCCCAGAGGGGCAGAGGGTCCCCTGGATGCTGCTGGGACGTCTCTGTTCTCAGGACGGGGGGCTGTGCAGAGGTGGGCTCTCGGTCTAAAACACACACCCGACTGGGAAGACAGAGCCCCGAGAGCAAATACCGCACGGACACCTTGTACACTGCCTGTTGAAGTGGCAACATGTTAACACAACAGGCTCAACCAGACACATCCTCACAATCCACCCAACGTCTGTGCTTTCCGGGAGGTGACTGCTGGAGAAATGCAAGGCCCACCTGTGTTCCTGCTGGACGGCGTGGTTCAGACCTTCCACGGGAACCTCGGGCTTTGTGTGCCACGGTTTGGGCTCGGGGCCGCCACCAGCCCACACGTCACTTGGGGGTGAATTAGGAAAAAGCGTCCCTTCCTGGAGACCGGACCTCCAACAGTCAGGAGGGTGGGAGTAACCCGCTCTTGGGACACTTCGCTGCCACCTGCTGGAAGGCTGTCCTCATGATCAGACCATGAGGATGTCACCCTGTGAAGGGGGCACCAGGGCAGGGGACGGGCCATGCTGTGCTGGAGGCGGGGTTTGCAGGGACGGACTTCTCACCGCGTCGCTGCCCCGACAGTGTGTAAGGTCCTCTTCTACCCACATGTGGCGTTTGTCGCAGCGGGGGGAAGTCTCTGGGGTGTCGGCCAGACGCCCACACAGGGAGAAAGGACATGACCGGGAGGATTTCTCGTGCCTCTCTGTTGTTTTCTGGGTGTGTTTCCGGGATGAGCAAGAACAGAAAGACCAGATGCTTCGTGTCCGGCTCGGGAAAGCCCTGCGCTGTCTTCCTCCTTGACCCACACGGTGGGGACAGAGAGCGAGAACCGGGACACGAACACTGCAGCGCAGGGGTCCCGCCGGGAAAGCCCCTCGTTGAGGGGACACGGGACTAGTTCAGACGCGTGGTTTCTGTTGCATCCGCCAACCTGCCCTGCTGCGGCCACAGACAGTGTGGAAACAGACCGCAGTCCCCGTGTTCCAAGAGGACTGTCCCCCCAACAGGCAGGGTCGCCTTGGCCTTGTAGAGCAATGGTTTCAGCAGCTGCCCTGTGGGCCCAACCCAGGCTGCAGGCCTATTGTTTGAAAATATATTTTTAACTGATTTTTTAGAGTTAGACTGCAGACCTATTTCAATTTTTTGCCCATTTACAAACATGGAGCATCGGTTGCCAACGCCGAAAACGACGTGACGTTTGCCCCGATCTTCCGTTTGTCTCGCAGAGACCGCGGCACGGAGCGTCCAGACGGACGCGGCTCACTTACCAGGTCACTCACGCGAGTCACCTGCTGGGCCGCGGCAGACGTCTGGGGTGGGACCCGGGGTCCCACACACCCCCTGACGCAAACTCGGCCAGCATGGTGCCAACGGAGAGAGGGACATGGAGGGTTTCAGGAGCGTGGTGCACGTACGCCCGGCCGTTCGACGCCCTGTGTCACCGGACTGCCCTTCCTCATGAACGGGTGCCCAGGGCGCGTCCCCATCAGACCAGTGCGGACGCCGGAAGAACCGCTTACCTTGATGACGTCCTCGTCCGCGGACTTGCACTCCACGGACTCCGAGATGTCGGCCACGGCGCTGTTCTCCTCCACAGACACTACCCTGACGGGCAAGGCGACGGCCTTCCCCGTGAGGACGGCGGTGTTCAGGAGCTCGGTGTCCTGTCGGGAGAACCAGACACACCGGGGTCAAGGGTGCCCTTCTGTTGACTCCATGGGACCCCTTCCCAAGGCTGTAGCCACAGCACCTCCCTTAGGGACACTTTCTTTTTTTTTTAATCCTCACCCGAGGACATTTTTCCATTTTTTGTTCAGATAGAGTGGGAGGGAGAGAGAGGAAGAGAGAGAGAGAAACATCGATGTGAAGGGACACATCGAGTGGTCGCCACCCGCACGACCAACCAGGGCCGGGGACAAACTGCAACCGAGGTACATGCCCTTAGCGGGAACTGAACCTGGGTCTCTCTGTACCACAAGCCGACGCTCCAACCGCTGAGCCAAACCGGCCAGGGCAAAGAAATATTTTTTATTGATTGATTTTAGAGAGAGAGGAAGGGAGAGGGGGAGAGAGAGAGAAACATGGATGAGAGAGACCATTGACTGGTCGCCTCCTGCACGGCCCCCACTGGGGATCAGACCCACAACCTGGGCATGTACCCTGACCGGGAATCAAACCGACGACCTCTTGGTGCAGGGTCGACGCTCAACCACTGAGCCACACTGGCCGGACCGAGTGGTGACTTTTATTTATCCCCAGATGCCCACGGTCCCTGCACCTTGGCAACGAACACCGCACCACCGGGGCTCCTGACTTTTACGCAGACTTTGAAGCAAAGCAAACTGCTTCCCCAGCTGCCTGTCTGCCCGCCGCAGGGCAGCTGTGGGGACCTGGGTGCTCCTGTCCCTGGGCAGCTCGGGCCAACGGGCTGGCAGGCTCCCTCCTGCGGGCCGTGACCTGCAGAGTGGTGAGGGGGACGCCGTCTCTTCGGAGGCCGTGGGCACCGCCGCCCACCTGCACTTGGGAACCTCCCTCGTTCTGGCCAGAGGAAGACGAGACGGCTCGTGGCTTTGGGACACGGATGGGCGCCCTTCACCTTTGGGCGGACACTCTCCCAGGCCCTCTCGGGAAGCACGCTCGACTCTGAAGTAGGAGACCCGAGGGGAGAGGTTGACCGTCCCAGAAACGACCTCTGGCATCCACAGGGGCTCAGCAGAAAGCGTCACCAGTCACCAGGGGAGTCCCAGCCCCGCTCTGAAGCTGCGCCCCTCGGCCGGCAGCAGGGGACCCTCCGCTGTGTCGCCTCCCGGGACGTGGGAGTCCCGGAGCGGGGCTACCGTCCGGGCGGCGCGCTCGGCGGCTGTTACAGATGCTAAGAATACCGTGGACGTCCGCCGAGTCCGGGCCACTCTCGGGCTCATTACAGCGGTGTGCTCAGAGTTCGGTCTCCCTGGCTCTCTCGGAACGGCCTCAGCTAATGGCTTCATTAAAGCCCCCAATTCCCTTGTGGACGAACGGTGATTAGCTTTCAAGTGGAGTTTGCAGTCTCTCCCCCTTTCTGTGTCTCCCCCTCTCCCCCTCCTCTACCTGCCCGTCTCCCAGCCCTGACCCGAATTACTGCGGAGATTAAGGATGACTGGACGATGGCTGTTTTCACTGAATGATGCCCATTTCGGGCGTCGAGAACCGGGTGAAGAGCGTTGGCCTCCAGGACAAACGGCCGAGGCTTCTGGGACGGTCCCCGCATTGACAAACCACTTTCCCAACTCGTCGTTCTGGTGACTGTGTGTCACCCGTGGGTACCGGGACCCCAGCTTCCACCCTGAGCTGTGCCATCCGCTTCTGTGGAACCCCGGTCCCACCCCATCTTCCGGAGTCTTCGTCACAAGCGAGGGGTCGGCCACGCCACCCTTCCAGCTGTCCCAACCCGGACGCCCACGAAGATCCCGGCCGTCCAGGGCATTGTCACCACGCACCCAGCACGCTCTGTGACTGGGCTACCAAGGGGTGACCCAGGGTGACAAGGCCCCGCTCACAGGGATGGACAGACAGCAGGTGGGCGTGACCAAGCAGGCGACCCCAGTGCTGTGCCAGCTGAGCTGTAGGCTGCTCAGCAGCAGAGTGACAAGCCCCTGCCCGCCGCGGGGGCAGCTCGGCCCGAGGGCACTGGGCCGGGCGTCCCTGGGCACTGGAACACGCCCCTGGAGGCCGGCTCCGAGCCCGCGGCCCACGCCCAGTTCTGCCCACCACCGGGAGCTCCTGGGGGACCACTGGGCTCCCCTGCTGCCTCCCCTCCCCCTCCCCCCGGAGCAGGAAGGGCTGCTGTGCTCAAAGGACCCGGTAAGGGGGGCCCTGCATCGCTGTCACCAGCTTGAACAAAGCCCAGGGCTGCGGGGAAAACACGCCTTATTACTCGATTCACCCTCATAAATGTAAATTGGTTTCGCCATTTTCCGTGTTTTTACAAATCGTACTTTGAATTCTTTACCGAATAAAGAACACAGAGTTACCTCTGGAGCGTTAAATAGACTGAAGGGTCTGACATGACTACAAAGATGTTAGACAAGCCCGGCCGGTGTGGCTCCGTGGCTGAGCATCGACCCTGCACCAGGAGGTCGCCGGTTCGATTCCCAGTCAGGGCACATGCTCAGCTCGTGGGCCCAATCACCAGTGGGGGGCGTACAGGAGGTGGCCAATTGATGTTCTCTCTCATCAATGTTTCCGTCTCCCTCTCCCTCTCCCTTCCTCTCTCTCTCAAATCAATAAAGGAAAAAAGAAAACAGATGTTAGACAAGCCCCAGCACCAAGGGAACACAGCACATGTCCCAGGAGCGGGTGTGAAACTGCTCCAGAGGGTGCTCACGGGGAGAGGATGAGTGTGGGATGTATCTATGCCTGTGGTGGAATATTACTCAGCCATGAACAGGAATGAGGGCAGACTCCTGCTGCAGCGTGGGGGAACCCCCACTACCTAACGCTGAGTGGCAGGAGCCAAACCTGGCAGGCTGCACAGCGTGTGTCCCCACTTAGAGGAGACATCCAGGCCAGCGCGGGGCTCCCTGTTCTTGGTTTTCTCCACAGGACCTCGGCTCTCCCCCGAGCTGGCCACGTGAGCCGGGGTCCTGTCCAGCAGTCTCCAATGTCCTTCTCCCAACCCTGAGGGGTGTTTTTCCGACTCCTGTGCTCCAGCCAACACAGGAAACAACTGGATTTTTCTTCTGGTGTAAATTTCCTTTTGCAGCAGACATTCCGGAATGTTCTCTGCCACGCTGACATCTGAAGCAACTGAGCCATGATTTTGGGGGACGGGGGGAAGGAATACCCTGCTAAAAGACTAAACTTCTCAGCCTCCCTTGCAGCTATGTGTGACCCTGTGACTAAGATCTAGAACAACGGCTCTCAGAGTGGGGCCCAGACCAGACGCGTCAGCATGTCTCCTTGGAAATGCACATTCCTGGGCCCCACCCCAGACCTGCTGAGTTAGCAAGGATGGAGAGGGGGCCCATTAAACTTTGTTTTAAAATCTCTCCAGGATCCTGATGTTGAAAGTTTGACAACTATGCCTCCCGTCCAAATATAAGCAGAAATATTATGCAGCCCTTTGGAAAATCTGCTCAATGGGAGCTGGACTTAGCCAGTGGGGGTGTTCTCTTTGTCCTTCTGCTCTCTGGCTACCTGGAATACAGATGTGATGGCTGGAACCCTAGCAGCCTTCTTGGACCCCGAGGCAAACTTGGGAACGAATCCACTCACTGAGGATGAGGTGGGGAGAGGCAGGAGAAGCCCACATCTCTGATGAGTAGGGGGTGGTCATGGATGTACTTACATCTGTGAGCTAAAGGTCCTTCATGTCTCAGCTACTGCTTTGGAGGGTTCTGCCCCCCTCTGGTGAACCTAAAGCCAGCTGGTGGATCTTCCACAGAGGAGGTGGTGGGAGGGACGGAAACGGATATACCGGCGTGCAGCACGTCCAGTTCTGTAACCGCAAATGGCAACTCAGTGGCAAGGGGCCGGATGGTGGCCTGCACTCGGCAGTGGCAGCAAAGGGCTGTCGTGCCGTCGTCCCGCTGCTGGTTGGGGTGGGAGCTGGGGCAAGGCTGATGGCAGAGCTGAGCGGAGGACAATTCAGCCTGATGGCAGCGGGCAGTGACCCCGGCCGTGCTCCGTTTTCCCAGTTCCCGGCCACCCAGTCACCGGGACACACGGACGCCCAGCAGCCCGTTGGTATGCTGGTCAGCGAGAGTGCCCGAAAGGAAGGTTCTGGATTCGGGGTGGACGAGCCTGGGACCAGCAAGCTGACTCCGTGGGGTCCTGGCCCGCTGTCTCCCTGATCCTGGGATGAAGAATGCACTCCGGACACAGGCGCTGCAGGCGGCCCCTCGAAGTCCACCCAGGACGTCACTGCCCCTCGGACCAGGCGGTCACTACCGCGTCGTCTCCTCAGGGAGAGGGGGGCCTCGTCACCAGCCAGCAGCGGGGACCCCGCGCCCGTCTATCTGACCACACTGCTTCCTCCTTGGCTGTTTCTTAAGGAAACGATCCCCGAGGGTTCCCCGTGGTTTCCTCGGGAGAACGGACTAGAACGTGCTCGGACGATGCTGGGAAGAACTGCGCAGCCGACGGGAAAGGGAAGCGACATCCCCCTCGCTCCCTGGTTGCAAGCGCTGTGGGTTCTAGGACGGGGAGGACCAGGCCGTGGAGAGGCCGATGTCCCTCAGGGCCGTCTCCCGTCCTGACATTGCAGGGGGCCCGAGATGAGACCTCCCTCCACCCGTGGCCTGGCAGGTGTGTCCGTCCACGTCCCTCAGCTCCTTTCTCCCCTGCCATCTCTGGAACTTCCCGGAAACCCGGGCGCAATGACTAGCGGACCAGGTAGGTCGAGAAGCAGCAAGTGTTCGCCCTGGAGCGGAGGGCTCGTCAGGGGCACTTGGCGCCCACTGGCCGCCCCGACGTCCCAGCCGCCGACCCTAACTGATCCCTGCGGCTCAGCGTACTGGGCAGAGTCTACAGGCCTCAGGCAGTGACCGTTCACACGTGTGATCACCATAAGCATCATGATAAGAACAGATGCTTTTGCCTACTCGTTCTCCAGGGTGGCGTCTATAAAGCACCATCAACCTGGGGTGGCGGTTAATGCAACAGAAATTTATTCTCAGTTCTGGGA